CACTTCTTCGCCCAATTGATGAGATTCTGTCGAGTCGTCACTTGCGCACTATCATAACAAATAACATGCGATATTCTGATTCCTGGATTCGAATTGCGAACTTCTGCCGTAGTATACCTAGACCAGAGCATTCACCACTTGCACGCATGCACAAACCTTACGCCCTTCCCCCTAGAGCCCTCACGAGACGTTTCGTCTCCTCAAAAATGTCCTTATCCTTATCCGTTAGCATAGCTGATACCCCAGTGAACCTTTAAAGACTACTATTGATAGTAGAAAACAACATATCTCCCTTGTCAAGTGATTCAGTTGTAATTCTCACATCACGACCAAGGGCTGTATATCGAGTGTAAGGAGCCTCTTCACGTAATGAGCCTCTTCGTGTATAGCGCGTGTCACTCGTCTTCCGCGAAGCGACGTAATATTCCACGTGAAAAACCGGACGTGGAGTGAATTGAAAACACTTGGTGAACTAATCACTCTATTTCGCGTGTTTTACACGTTATTCTCTGCTAATATGCGTTTCTCGCCAAGTGATATGTGAACTATATTCTTCACTCGTGTTTTTCATATCACGAGTGAAACTTCATTGTATCGACCACAACTTAAAAGCCTCTTATCAGCGACTTCTGTTGAGCTTGTCATCATGTAAATGGTAAATAATACAACTTGCCCACCTCGGTAAGGGCAGCCGGGAACAACAGGGTCTATAGAGGACACTAGAAGTAACAGGGAGCATTCGTTGGCTCTCAGCACATGCCAGGACCTAACCATCGATACTGTACAAGTTTTCCGTCATGAACATACCCATCTAGCCGAAACTTGCAAGCTATCCGTCGATGCATTGGGCGGAGCGGAGGTACCGTCCTCAAGTACATATGCGAATACATTATCTGTTAACAACAATGAAAACTACAACAACAACCTCATTGAAGTAGCATAAAATTGTTTAATACATTATCAATGCATGAACAATACTTTATCAATGCATGAACAATACTTTATCAATGCATGAACAATACATTATCAATGCATGAACAATACATTATCAATGCATGAACAATACATTATCAATGCATGAACAATACATTATCAATGCATGAACAATACATTATCAATGCATGAACAGTACATTATCAATACATTATCAATACATTACTTAAGACCAATGAGAACTACAACAACCTCTTCAAAGTATTCCATATTGACTTACTTGTGCCAAATCCAGTTAAAGCCTCGAGACTCGCTCCGTGATTCTTCAACTGCATAGCCACAGCTCGTTCTTTCCCAGTGTCCGTGAACCCCAATACGACCTAAATAATCTCAACTACACCACACCTTTCTGGAATCCTATTCGCGTATACAAACATCAATCCAGCGATGTTGGTCAAATTGTTGTGAATTGAACCGAATCAAAGGACTCTTTTCGTGGATAGGATCAACAGGCTTTTTGAAAAACCAACATAACTAAATCTAGAAATGAAACAAGTAGATTAAAGAATGAAAGCAGATGTTCGTGATGCAGGAGTAATCTCTATAGACCAGGAACAGGACAATCCACAAGTATCGACAATATTACCAATAATATATACAAATACCAATAACAACAATACTGGTAATGGAGTTTCACCCGTTTCACACGGAATGGCGTAGAAGTCTGTGAAAAACGCGATATTCGCGGTGATATGCACTGCATATTATGCAGTAGTCGTAAAACATGTTTTCACTACTGTTTTTCATATCACTAGGGTGGTGAAACTCCAATAAATACGAATATCAATATTATCGACAATACCTAAACTTACTATATTTTTCCCCGCAAATATCCCCTTAGGTGACCTGCTGCCACCATCCCTATTGCATGCCTCATACTGTGTAGTAGCCGGCAAGGATGCAGAGTCGAGCCCCATACCAGCTGAATCACCCATCATCGTCATGCCAAGGATACTAGGCCCCCCACCACGACTCAATGTTCGATTCACCTGTAAGTAGAAATATTCACATCAAAAATACATCGTAAATTCACTCCTCCAGAAAGGCGTTTTCCTCCCGTTATGAATTCTACAGAACACATCCCATTATAGTATTCCGGAGTTTTCAGAAGTAGTGTAAATCACTAGTAATTCGGAGTGAGCCAATATTGATATATTCCGGTTTGTTACTAACGGAGTTTCACCACCCATTTTACGTGAAGTTGCATAATGCTCTATGAAAAACGCGACATTCGCGGTGATATGCAGTAGTCGTAAAACATGCTTTGCACTACTGTTTACCATATCACTAGGGTGGTGAATCTCCAATAAATTCGTCGGGGATTAAATCTCAAAAAACATTCCCTTCACAGATCTGTATAATAGAACTTCTACCTTCACTAAAACTACTACTCTAATTTTCACTTCTCCTATCGTAATCACTACGTACAGGAAACTACTCAGATCTTCTTGCCGTAATAATCAACAGTCGTTGGAAATTTGCATCCCTCACCGTTGTGTGTGGGTACACATGTCCAGTCCTGGTCCGCTTCACCTGTCGACCAGGAAGGGGAGGAGGAGCCCCTCGACCCATCGAAGGCTGACTTGCTATCAGTGGGGCTTGCGAACGGCTGAAGCACACTCAAAACGTAACTTCCAGGGTCGGGAAAATCTGTACAAGAAATATGGGGAAACTCCCGAGGTAAGCTAAATGCCGGGGATATCGGTATCCATGCGACGCGTGGAATTTCTGGGTTACATAGTAATTTGAAAAGGGCGCTGGTAGAACTCAAGACTCAAGAGGCTGGCTATACGATAAGATGTATTGGCGTAGTAGTTCCGACACAGCGAGACAGATAAGCCCTGGATATCAGATATGAATGGAGCACGTAATTTGGAATAGAATGACGACGTGAAGTGAACTGGATTCTAAACCATACTAACAGCATTAGCAAAATGCTGCATCACGTCGCATTTGTGAAGGCGAGCATTTGCCGCAAACACAACTATGGCTAGGCGCCACTCCCCCAGTTCGTGATTCTTCGAAGTGAGCTGATGGAACCTCCTACAAAGATCGTTCTTCAACACAGAATGTATGCCCTCTGCATTGCTACTGTGAGTGCCGTCAATAGCCTTAAAGGTCTTTTTATGACTAACCTTGGTGTGCACGATATTGCCCCGGCGCTTAGACAAGGAATAATATGCCTTGAACATGTCAGTGGACACCCGGGCTCCCTCTGCAGCGAAATTATAGTTCTGGGGGAAACGATCTTCAACATACTCGGCGCTAATGAACTTGGTCTTCTTAGTTCGAGGAGATATACCAATGACCGTTTAAACCCAGTCAACCCCACCGAGCCTAGTTCTGCCCCGCGCTCGCATTTGCGCTTTCCCACGGCCGTTTCGTCACACTGTTTCCATGTGTGTTAGCGCGCGCCAGTAAGAAATGGAGAGCAGATTACGGGGAGAAATCCGAGTAGGTCGGCCTCACTCAGTAGGAGAGCGGACATTGAGAGAGTGTGAGTGTTGCGAGGGTGTGAACTGGAGAGTATCGTAAGAAAAGAAGCAGCGTCGCACAGATCCCGATAAGGTGCGTCACACACACTCGGTAAACGCACTGGTCAAGAACAAAGCGTATGTTTTGTTTAAAAACACCCCGTCTAGAAACAATAGCAAACGAACCGTTTTCGTACATTTGGGAAAATGCACTGTTGACAATATTGGGAATTCTTGTTAGTTTCTGTACACTCCTACCCGAATTCGTATGTAAACTACTCAACTCAGCTGAGGAAAGCCAACATAGATTCCATCAAAGCGAAGGCGATAAATTTGCAGTCATACCACTACTCCCAGTGTAGGAAAATTTGTTCACTCTCCTCAACTGAGCTCAGAAGTTTCCTCATATACAGAAGTTTATA